TGCTTCTTCTCCATGAGGATGTCTTTAAGAAAATCCAGGTGGTTCATGAGAACTTCATACAGCAATACTTAAACTGAGGTGGTCTTTGAGAAAGACTGGGTGGTTGGTGGGAACCTCTTTCACATCAAAAATCAGTGTACAGGGTAGTTCGTGTGCACATAAGCCATGTGAGCAGGATATTTCATGTGTACGAAAGCCATAAAGGTTAGACCCGGAGGATCCGGGCTTCGACTAGTTCATGTTAAGCAAGCACTTGGCTATTTCTGGATGCTCCATAGGAAAGTATAGATCTCGCATAAATTTGGGGGGGGGGGGGGGTGAGAAATCAATCTTAAAACACGGTAAATTAAGAGTACACCCTTCCTCGGTGTTTCAACTTCGCTGCTCATAATCGCATGAATCTTTGCTATTTCAGTCACGCGAGCAGCGTCTGTCTGTCTTTGAAGATATGGCCTTTCCCGGTGCTACGGCTCAAGAAAAGACTAGTCACAAGGAGAAAAGTTGAATGTCTTTTATCTTTCAGTGTCCTTGAAATCATTCATTCCAGATATTGCTATGATGGGAATAAATGTCCATGGTTCAAAGAATCCTCAGTTATTGTCCCTGTCTGTCGATATTCGATACCACGACTGAATGTTATCGCAGGGAAGTAATTCCATGAAGAACTTGTTTCAGCTTCTTTCGAGCTGTCGTCTTGGACAGGAACTGCCTATTATGCTCGAAGTGCAAGTCCAGGAAGCCTCTGGGGATCGAAAGCGATTCCTAAGTTCCCTAATTTCTGCCTGGTTCGTACTGGAGACCGGACCGACTTCATCCATAGGGTTGTGAACGATGAGGAAGATCCTCGGTGAATTGGAACGTTTCCCTGTCGCAAAATGTGAACTTGGTGCTTTCAAACAACTTACAACTGGTACCATGGCAGATCGTGTCTGTCATTAAGCGTCAGTGACTTTTCTAAGCAAAACCTATTCCATGATAGCACAATATCGCAGAAGAATATCCTGCTTCTGCAGATTCAGGAAGAAACCCTTCCACTCTTTTGAGGGATTTCCTCGAACCCATGAAGAAGCCGCTCGGAGCTTGGCTCGGTATTCATCACCTGGATGCATCCAAATTCCAGGACGGCGGACTGCACGACCGAAAGGAGAACCGGGATGCCCCTCATTTTCGTTCGATGCCACTTGGCTCTTCGAACGTCGACGAGATTCGCATCGGGAAAGTGAGAGGCTATGGTAGTTGCATTTCGAAACTCCCTGAGGGACGAAATTTTGGGATCGAATCGAAAATGGAAAAAATTACTCCAAGATTTCAATCTGCATTCAAGGAATGCGGTTCCAAATGTGCTATCTTCAACTTTGCAATTTCGAAAGAAGCACATTGAGGATTTCCCATCCTTAATGGTGATTTTGTACCTTTAATGCGACGACTTGGACCCGAAGCTGGTCGCATTTGTATTACAATTTGCATACATTTTTCTTTAAGAAACGGAGAATACTGTATGTTTTCTCACGGTTCTAATGACTAAAGGAAATGCTGCCAAAATGCACTGGTAAAATTCTGAAAGTACTGCACCAATCAGATGCATATATACTGTACTTTTCTACTGATTATCCTCAGATTCTTTCATAGCTTACTGCAACGTTATTTGTTCGCCTCGTGACTTTGTGGAAGTTCGAAATTGGTGAACCAAATATGAAAACATACAAGTTTTGGATGATAATATACGACTGCGTATTCAAAGTTACTAGTCTAAGGTAAACAATTTTAACCTCATTCCAGTAAACTTGATGAACACGCACATCATCAAACATACTGGCTATCCCTTCCATGACTATTTTTTTTAATAAAGAGACTGGATGTTTTTATGGACAAAACCAAATGGAGACAATGTAGACGAAAAGGACTAGACAGATAGAGACTAAGATATACTGACAAAAATTATAAAAACGTTTGATTTGGCTTTAAGGAGATTCAGCCTAAATCCTGCCCTCGACACATGATACCACAATTCAACCATGAATGAAGCTTTAATGGGACCACACCTTGAGATTTCGACCACAAATAACTATAGGGTTGCTCACGTTTTAGATCTATCTGATTCTTTGAAGTAAATCTCTATCACTCTCAAGTGAAAGATCTGTTCAAAAAGTACTAGACCAATCAGATACATCCATAATTTTCTACTGATTATCCTCAGATTCTTTCATGGTTTACTGCAACGCTATATGTTCGCCTCATGTGACTTCAAGGTCGTCCGAAATTGGCGAATAAAAATAGAAGACACAAATTTTTTGGAAGATAATACATGACTGCGTATTCAAAATGACAGAATTTCAAGAATTAAAAAATTAAAGGTAAGGAATTTCAAGCTCATCCCCGTAAACTTGATGAATACGCAAAATCATGAAATGTTCCAGAGAACCTTGAAAGTGATGCTATTTTAATTTTTCCAATTTCATATACTGTGGTAATCAGAAGAAAACCGATGGATACTGAGGTGATGACGACCAGATCAGAAATCTGAACTTTTCAGCAATTCGCTGTTCATCAAAAATACTTAATCAAAGAAGTTGAAACTTATAGCTTACTATGTCCTAAATTCTTCCTCCTTAACTCGAAACGACCTTGCGACCTTTCTCGGGGATAAACCATAATCCCATTCGCTGATGATATCCTGACCCCAGCACTCCAAAAAGGACGATCTATTTATATACATATGTTCTATTAACTATACAGGGTATATTTCCTATCCGACTGGAATTTGTCTCTTAGAGTTTCAACAAGTGTATGAATGGATAATAACTGCCATAATAACGGCTGCATCCCCTTGAATCACCTTCTGAGGCTAGCGTATGTGTTGGCAATGACACGAACATACTCCCGACTCTTGGGCATCATTCAAGGAGAAATTATCGATTTCGGAGGGATCGATTAAAAATCGATTATTCTTTTAAATGGCTCACGATTAATCGATTTGGTTTTCTTCATAGATTCATAAGAACTTTGATTCACTTGTTCGTCTTTTGTCCCTCTTTGGGTCCTCTTGGAAATGAACTTAGTAAACTCGTCCATAAAATTAACCAAGAACTAGTCCGTTTTTTTATTACTAGAAAATTTTTTTATTTAATAGTTTTCTAAATAGTAAATTCTATAGTCGCCAAATGCGATCTTCGACAGATTTCAGTTTGACGCTTGCCAAATCATCCATTTATAAAACTTATATGAACCATTTGAAACGCGCATCTCATGAACCCCCAAACTATTTATATTTAGTTATATTTGAGGAAAGTGAGTTAAGTGAGAAATTTACGCATTTTTTAAATACAAGTTTTCAGACCACGACAATCAATATGTGACCGCTGTCGCTTTCACACGATTTCTCCTTCATGGTTAGGTGATTCGGTAAGCTGCGTAGTACGTTTATATCTGCCGACAGGCGACGCGAGCTCGTTCGCAACCCATGCATCCATCCATCCACACTATATTAGAATATACTAAAGAGATACTAGAGAGATATAATAAAGAGAAAGAGAGAGAGTAGATGTAGCCTCTGGCCTACACAGATTTCGCCCCTTCAAGGATATAGGCTAGGTAGCCCCTAGGCCTTCATGCCTTTCCTTTTCCGGATCATTGGCTTAGTAGCTGAAAGGCCTACGAGCCTTTTCCTTTCCATGTTATAGGCAAGGCGCGTTTCATGATTCCTCCATTTGACTGATTTTGCTTACAAGCCTGTGCCTTTGAAGGAACTAAGATGGTTGGAGTGTGCTAAACAGCTTTATGATATGTGATGCTCCCGCGTAAGAGAAGCGGCGAGGCTGCGTAGATCTGCACTGATCAATGAGCAAATCGAAGATATCAATGATGAGAGGAGAGGTGCATTAATTGCAGAGCAACATTAGGCTGTTAACGCTGTGAGGTGAGCAGCGCATGCACGCAGCGAACCTTTAACATTGAGTAGTGGCACTTGAAGTTCTTGATGACGCCTGCATCCATAGGTAGAATAAACGAAGTTATGTTTGTGGGCAGAAATTCAATCTTGATGTTGCTCAGTTTCAGACTTGGAGCGCTCCCGTGACAGGTGACATTATCCATGACAAAGATGTTTTTTTCCTTTTTCTTCATTGCTTCATCCAGGTCTAAGACCCAATCATCAAAGACCTGCTGGGTCATCCAGGCATTCTTGTTAGCTTCATACGGCACCGGAAAGTTCTTGAGATGCTTGAAGCACGAAGGATTCTTGCTTTTGTCAGTGATCAGTGGTGCAATCTTGGCATCTCCTGTCTAATTGGCACAAAGGAGTACGGCTATCCTTTCTTTAATTTTCTTACCGTCACCAACACTCATTCCCCTTGGCAAAGGTGCAGTCCGGAATTTCACAGAAAAACAAACCAGTCTCATCACAGTTATACACCGAGTCAGGAGAGAAAGAGTTTCTCACTAATCCTGGAAGAACGTTTATCACCCAGGATGCTGCCGCTTCTGTATCAGCTTCTTTTGATTCCTCGCAAATCTTCTCGAATACCAAGTTATGTCGGATCTTCCGCCTTGATAACCAGCCTTCAAAAGCAATGAAGTCGAGTATGCATTTCTCCTCTGGCAATTTCAGAGGTTTTTCTCAATGGAGAGGTCCGTTAATTGGCAGTCCTTTCAGCCAATCAATCTACTCAAAACCACAGCCACAACGCTTGGTCAACATCTCCTGCCTTGCTTTCCGGTTTACGCTTTCTGCTTTCGTTTCCGTTCTTCTTGTACTCCACCTTTACTGCTTCCCTATGCTCGATGATCTTTGAAACTTGCGGCTGAGAAATCCCAAACTTCTGAGCCAATTTAGAGTAGAGTCTTCTTTTCGTCTTGATGAACAATCAGAACTTCAATATTTTCGGCGAAGCAGAGGTTCTTCCTTCTCCCCATATTCAACTCGGAATGAACAGACCTGTTCGCCTCGGCCTCAATTTCTTGCCCTGTTGGACTTGCTTCCCCTTTCAAAATTCCAAAGTCTGAATTTTTCTGCACCCAGCATCCCAATAGGTAGTTATGTACCAAGTTTCATCTTTCCACACCAGCTTAATACGCCAGGGCAAAAAAAATTACTTGAAAACGTCGGCCCCTAAAAATATGCCCCCACAGGGCATGGATCAAAAAGTTTACGTTTTTCCTGAACTCATCGTCTCGGTAGGCATGTCCATGCCAAGTTCCAGCTACCATGTCTCTCCGTTTTACTAAAGCAAAAATAATGTTACGGAAGGGGAATGAGTAAAGCGAATTGGAAGGCATATGGGGCCGTAAGAAAGCCCTGGAATGGCCGGGAATTGAACCCGGGCCTCTTGATTGCTGGTCAGGTGTGGTACCACTACACCACCGAACCCAACACATCCAGTCAAACCTCTCGATGCCATCCTAATCCATCACAATATATATCTTTAAAAACGTCTCCCCCCAAAATGTGTACCCCCAGGGCATGTACCTCCAAAGTCGGATTTTCTCTGAACTCTGCATCCTAAAAGGTACATGTATCGGATTTTTTCTGAGCTCTGCATCCTAAAAGGTACATGTGTGCCAAGTTTCAAATTTCTAACTTCTCTAGAACATGGTTAGAATTAGCGTCAGTCAGTCACGATCTTCTATATATTTGGATCTATAGACTTGGGGGGAGTATGAAACTAAAATGATGCTGCACAGTTTCAACATTTATTCCACCGGTTAGGGTGGAATCTAGACTACAAATATTTCTCGAAAGTGATTTTTCTTCGTGTGTCAATGTCGAGATGTATGGAGGAGAAGGATAGCGCCTGAGTGAAAGGGAGGTACATTATGGAGGCATTATCCCTGGTGTACATTTATCTCACTTAAATATTGTCAAAAATAAAAAAGTATACCACTGGCTTGGGCAGACTCTGGAATACAAATCTTGTTTAGGCAGAATTTTCCGAAACTGAAACGTTTTCGAGATAAAGGAGGGAACGCTTTTGGCGTGACAGGAGTGAAGCACAAATCGTCAGCCTTTGAGCCTTGTTTTCTTCGCCGAGTTCGTGGGGTACCCAAATGCTTTGTTTGCGCACCTTGCCGAAGTCGTGATGTCTCATGACGGTTTTTTGGTCGCATCCGAGATGCTGTCCAAGTTGACGTGAAGATTGTCCCGGGTCTTCATCGAGCAGCTGCTGCAAATCTTCATTCTTCAGCTCGGCGGGTCGTCCAGAGCGGGGTTTGTCAACAATGTCGTCGCTCCCAGAGGCGAATTTCTTAGTAACGTATTTCTAAGTAAAGTAAACATTTTCGTCAATCATTGTGCTGAAAAATGGAGCGATACAATAAACGGGTTGTGGCAAATGAGGTATCAAAATACTCGGCTGACAACCGGCAACCAAGTACAAAACGCAATAACTGCCAAAATTTTACATCAGAAAATGACAGTCAAATTTCTAAACATAGGTCATAGAGGGTCAGAACTTATGCCTCATCCTAATATATAGAAGACTTTGTTAAGAAAAACAGTCTTTGTTAAAACTCCCAATTATGACCAAGAGTTAGCAGTTAGCAATTATTCATTGCCTTTCTTCCAATGAGTTCCGATGCAAGTATTAAACTTAGTATTACACTTAGAGTATTAAAATAAGTTTTTAGTACATAGTAGTGAACCGCATAAAAGCATGAACTTGGCCGCAGTTTGACTCATATCATGGCAGTAGGTTCTCAAACTTTAACGGGATCCAAAAGCTCGAGATCCCAATTTTTCAAGTACGAACATCTAAATGAAAGAGGTTATTGTATTTCCCTGATCCCACCGTGTTCCCTTCCCGACCCCCCTGGAGCTCGCGACGCACAGTCGAAGAAATGAGGGAGTATTAAGGAGTCGTGGAGGTTTCAAAAGGACTTTAATACGTCATAGCAGACAAAGCAACAAACACACTATTGGAGGAATGCCATCATCCACGCATTGAAAACGTAATAGAGAATCATAAAAAATTGCTGCGCAGAACAGCAATGGCGAAGTGAACAACTGATGTATGTCATTCATCACATGCTTCACAAGTGTTTACGTTTTGGAGAAATGTTGGCACAGATGCTGGAGTTGGGCCCCCGCCTCCAGGAGGGTCGGAACCTCCTCTTGGGCATGCTCGGGGTGCTACCCGTTCCGCCAGCATCTTGCCTTCTCCTAGTTGCAATGGTACTTGGTAGGTGATGGTTCCAGATTGGGTTTTGGCAATCGGCTCCCAAAAATCGTTGAACGTGTCTTCATCTCTCCCATCGACACATTTGATGAAATGATCTTGTTCAATTCTCGACCTGAGTTTTTTCTGAAATATGATGACATATAGTGGAGAGTTATAAGAGACAGTTTTCATACAATTCATGTAGGTTCTATAGATTGTTGCTTTGCTAAGGGTAAGTATAAAATCAATCAAGGTTTTCGC